TGGCCGAAAAGCAGCAGCCAACCCGGCTAAAGCGGACCTCAACCTGGAGGGAAAATGCGCGCAGATGCATTCAACATTTATTAAAGTTTATTCCACTGCATGTCCTAATTCTCCACCCATAAAACCCTTTAACCACCGTTTTCGTAGGAAAACATGCAGGGAATAGGGATTAATGAGTGAGCATACATAAGCTACTGTTGCCCTGACCACCACCACCAACACCACCACCACCAGCACTACCAAATCATGCTCTTGCCTGAGATGGTAGCTTTAATTTGTCCATTTTTTTCCATTTATTAAAGGCCTTGGGCTCGCAGTACATGGAAAAACTTATCAACGACAATGACTTCGCCGGTGCAGCTGCACTGTGTCCGCATCTTCTCAAAGACACGAAATCTTGGGAGGATCAGGTCTACCGCTTTCTCCACCTGGGCCAGTTACAGGTATCCCTTGTTTCTGTCTTCTGCTAATTTCTATCCCATTAAGGTGATCCTTCGTCCGCAAATACACTTATCGAGTGGAATATTTTGTGTGCCACTTCGTGTAAAATGTGATCGCCTGTAGACTGTGGATCACCACAATATCGAAATAAATCAAATTCAACTTTGTGTAAGGAGGCCACATTGCTATATTGGAAAGATCCTGCAAACAGTCTATTATACGCAGTACCCGAGACCTATTTACAGTTAGAACATGGCAAAGATCACGAGACTAGCTGAATTTATTGACTTTATACAATTTCGCGACCTCTTATCCAACTGCAAACTCTCATTGTCTCTTAACAAGATAAATTAACTGTCCAATTAAGTGTCGGTCTAGAAGGGTGAACCTTGATCGGTAAATAGAATAAAGGCTGTGGGTGCATGGTGAACGGGTAGAGAAGGAGGAAGTGACTTAACACAGTAAGACATTTCATTTTACAGCGAAAGCCTGTGGAACGTGATTAAAAGGGGGAGGGGCAATGGAGAGGGTAGCAGTCGGTCATAAGGGGAAGGGCGGAGGCGTGAGAAGGAATGAGTTTATCGGTCGTTATCACGGCAATGCGAGGTTGATCACATGATTCAGCTGCTCACAGAGTTCTGGTTTTCTTCCTATTGCAGCGGCCTCCGCAAATCGTAGGAGACGTCCGGTCGTTACCCGAAGCACGACCTGGCAAAAGTAGCTTATGTAGCCCCACTCATATACCCCTAGTCTTAGCATT